GAGGGGCAGCCACCAGGGCTGAGCCAGGAGCACAGTGCCTTGGTGGGCAGCAGGGAGTGTGGAGGGACGGGGAGGAGCCCAAAGTGTAGCCAAGAGAGTTCAGATGGTCAGCACAGGGTGGGTGGCATGTCACTGGTGTCATGGACAGGCATCATGTCACCCCTCATGCCATCCTGACCGAACAGACTGGGTATTAGGAATATTGGATATTAGTGAAAATTGGATATTAGGAATACTGGATATTACTGAATATTGGATATTATTGTATATTGGATATTAGGAACAATTCTTTTACTGAAAGGGCTGTCCAGGCCTGGAGCAGGGGTGGAGTGCCCATCCCTGGAGGGGGTTAAAGCCACATGGATGTGGCACTTGGCGACATGGGTTGGTGCTGGCCTGAGTGGATTGCTGACATTAGGGAGGTTTTCCAAGCTCAGTGATTCTGTGATTCCTCATCCCCAGGCACAGGATGGGCTCCTCAGAGCAGCGGCAGCAGCAGCGGGGGCAGCACCGAGGACATCCCATCCACGGATCCCTCCAGGGACGTGTCAGGGAGCACTGAGGAGATTTACCTGGACTACAGCACCTACATGGCCCGATTTGTGCCAGCACAGGGGGCAGCCAGCCCGGAGAGGAGCCCCTCTCATGGAGCTCTGGGCAGCTCCACGCCCACGAAGGTGAGAGGGACAAACCCAGCACTGAGAGCGGGGCTGGAGGCTGATGGAGCCACGCTTCCAGTGTGTGGTTTGCTTGAGCAGCCATGCCCTGGGGCAGGGAGCACAGACAGCAGGTCCCACTGCTCACAGAGCCACCTCACTGCAGGGGCTGGTGGCTGCTGTCCCCTCCCAGGAGGACACGGCCAGCATGGCCTGGATGAATGCCCTGGTGGGACGCATCTTCTGGGACTTCCTGAGGGAGCAGTACTGGGCAGAGCAGGTGTCCAACAAGATCCAGAAGAAGCTGAGCAAGATCAAGGTGAGAGGCGGGAGCATCGCTCAGGGAGCCCTGTTCCCAAGGCCCCACGGTGAGTGGTGACTGTCCCCATGGGGGATTCCCTCCATCAGCTCCCGTATTTCATGAACGAGCTGACGCTGACAGAGCTGGACATGGGCACATCCATCCCCTCAGTGCTCAGTGCCTCCAGCCCCACCATCAATGAGCGAGGTAAGAGCCCCACAGAGGCACGGGGACCCCAATGCTGCCTCCAGGTTGGCTTTGTAGAGCTGCCAGCCCAGGCCCCACAGCTGGGAGGGCTTGGCAGTGCCCAAGCAGCTCTGACCCCTGTGGTGCTGACCTGATCTCACCCTGTCCCTCTCCCTGGCAGGGCTCTGGGTGGACTTGGAGGTCACCTACAGCGGCTCCTTGCAGATGACACTGGAGACAAAGATGAACCTCAGCAAGCTGGGGAAGGAGAGCTCTGCAGAGGAGAGCAGCCCTGCAGAGGCAGGCAGAGAGGGGTAAGGAACCTGCCCGTGGGTGGGCTCACCCTGCTCCTCCTG